ATTGTTGATTACTACATTATGATCTAAATAATCTATATAAAATATGTTACTAAGACCAAACCAGGTAGCCAAATAGTTTATGTTAATAGTTACGTTGTTATTACTGTTTGGATGCAAAATTACATAATGCATGTTGTTGACAAAAAATAATATAATTACTATGTCTATGATGCATATTTTAAAGCATATATATATTTCTATGTATATTAGATATTTTAAAATAACTGCATGCACTACATGAAAATATTTTTTCAATATCGGATATTATGGAAAAATTACATGATTTGTTTTTACTTATTATACGTCTTATAAATTTTATTTGTTTTGTTAACAAATATATATATTTTATTTATCAGATTTTCTTTTGATACTTGAAGTATTAGTCCAAAAATTATTCATCTTTCAAACAAGATTAATACATCTTTCATTGTTACTTTTTTTTATTTGACAAATATGATATCATTTTACATTCTTCTACATAGATAAATTCTTGAATCTCATTTATGTTAATCATACTATGTGCTATCTTCTTTCTATTATCAAACTTCACTATATTTTGGCTACACATTTTGTTCGCAATGACGAAATGAGATTTTTTTTTTTATCATTATCACTAACTTATTTTTTTTAGTAATTTTATGATATATCATAAAATTAGTCACAATTAATATTTATTTTCTGTAATCAACTATTTTGGTAATATAATATTTTTTATAGTCATATATAATATTAAAATATCCTTTAATTTTAATCTAAATATTAATCATTTGAAAGGTTGCATGTATATTCATGTTTTTTTTCCATCTTTGTGCAATCTTTTTATCACCACCATTTTTATTCAAAATAGCGATTTTATGGGAGATTATGTTGACTTACAAATGAAATATGAATAATAGAACAGTTTATATATATATATTTGTGCAAAAAACAGTTTATACTTTTTTAAGAGGAGATTATTTGGAGAAAAATCGAAGAGATGATGAAAAGGAATCTTTAGAATCAAACATGAACGGACGGTTGTTAGACGTTTACTGGTTTGTAATCGTGAGATTTGTAGAACATCAATCAGAACACTTATATTGATATATTTATTATTATTAATCGTAATCGTAATCATCATCTTCTGATTCACTCCCTCCACTGTAAGAATAAGAATCATCGGAGTTTTTTGAATACTCTTCATCTCCATTGCTCTCCATTTCATCTTCTACTGCTACAGATGTGTTTACACCTGTGTAAACAACCAAATCTCTTTTAGATGCCTTCTCCACTTCTTCTACGGCTTCTAACAGAATTTCATCGCTTATGTCCCACCCACCGGTGCTGTCAATAACATCTGTACTCTGGGCGATTGCTAACTGAGAGTTATTGCCTTGAACTGGAGGATAGATAGTGTTATTGTCTTGAACTGCAGATAAAAGTCCAGCAAAGTATCCTACTCCCTCTGTCGCTCTTGAATTACCTCCAGCCTCTACGATACCTGCAGATGAATCTCCAGCTTCTAAACCCTTAGCAAAGTAACTCCCACTCATTCGAGCTTCAAGAGTAGGCCCGACTATATATGACTCCATCGCCTTCTCTAAAACACACGAACAGGTTCACATATTTATCATCAATGCTTAAAGATTTAAAACTCCGAAACTGCCTATCACACCGAATCATTGTCGGCCCCAGCTGAACACCAGCTAACAGTGCTAAATTGTCCTCAAACATGTAGCTAAGCTCTACTGATATCGAGCTCCTCTCCATTTTGTAGAGTTGCCTCACTTTAAGCTCCAAATCCCTGAAAGTTTTTAACCCCATCAAACTCAACGCCCTCCCTACCGATAAGAATCCATCTTGAACTCCCGTTCACCTGAGCTAAACAAAATCCATCTTCCAGCCTGTACAACAACAATATCATCCACTGCAAAGGAAATTCAATTAGAATCAGTTTCTAGGCCAGTACACTTGGAAACATTAAAAGGAAATTGACAAATTTCTTTCAGTACTGAATTTCACCTTCCATGGTTTGTTCTCTGAACTGAATGACCTCAGGAACAGAGAAACCCTTCTGAAACTGACAATCATCTTCTTCTTTTAATCTTTTAATGAATTTTTCATCAAAAGAAGCAAAATAAATTTCCCCCCAAAAAATTTACCTACTTTCGAAAAAAATCTAAAGAGAATCTGAGTATTATATCATTTCCCTCACCAACCTAGTAACTAATTCCGTTGACACTAACTTCTCATTAATGCCGATAGTTTCTCTCTGCTGAACAGCCCCCATGGATGAAGACGACTTGTTTGATGGCGTGTTTGGCTAATTACTTAATTCTCGAGATAAAATAGTAAAGTATATTTAGGCCCATTTACAACTATCGAAAGCCCGTTAATCCCAGTTGGCTCCTGTGTCCAACAAGCCAAACACGCCATCTCGCCTAGAGGGTTTCTCATTCCCCTGCAAAAACAAGGAAGCCCTCAAACGTAATTTCGCCAACAACCTCAAGACCCCACTCTTTTTTCTTTCAGAGAGATCGTGTATCTCACGCACAGTGGGGACCCGACTACTTCTGCAGTTTTGAATAGTACCCGTACTAGTTTCCCTATTATGTTTCATAAACGTACTATTTTCCCAAATATCTCTTATTTTATACTATAAATCAACTATTGATTTCTCTTAAGAATCACTAGGTTCTCGGGGTATTGAACCCGAGAACTAAAGCAATTATTCTTAACTCGCATTCCCTACACTATTGCAGGCTACTCTATGTTTTTGGATGCGTGATCTCGAGATAGAGCTTTTTTTTATAAAGCTCCTTCTGTTGTGTTTTCTCAGGTTTATAAAACCTTAATTTAGTTAGATTCAGTTTTTTTTTAAAATAGATTCAATTTCCTTTTTTTTATTGATTTTACTATATCCACATCAAAGAGTTATTAAATACATCAAAGAGTTATTAAATTTCCTTTTTTCGTTTGGTACTTTTAAGAAGTCTAAAATTTCACACACGTGTATATCCGAATACGTATATGTATGTAGTAATTTTTTTTTCTTCAATAATTGTGTATTTTGTAATTTCTTTTTTTTTTCAATAACTGTGAAATGGCAAACATTTATTTTTCTCACACTCTTCCAAATAAATACGAAGTCTCAAAACTATTTGTAAACCTTGTTGAATTTTTTTATATTAAAAGTATATTTGATGAATTAAATAGTTTTCAAAACATTGTAGGCCTTTTATAATTTATAATTATTAAAAATAGAATTATAGGTTCCACTTTATATACATATGTAAAATTTTGCTAAAAATATCGTTTTTAAATCTAAGAACTGTTTGTTAGCTTTATTTGCATGTGTTAAGAGACGGTTTTGGTATAAATAGTTAATATCCATTCATTATTACATTAAGCACATTTGATTCAATAATGAAGACATGAATTGTATAAACAACTAGTAAAAAGTAACATAATTTTAAATATATTATAGTCTAATTTACTTGCTAAAAATATATTATAGCCTAACTTAAGTACAAAAACTATCTGATTTTTAATATTTCCTTTATATATATTTTTATTTCTGATTTTTTTTTTTTTGACCGGCATAGTTATTTGTGATTAAGTTTCTAATTATGAATTTTTATGACTTAATAAACTAGATGAGTGAAGGTAATAATGATTAGTTCAATTTTTATTATTAAAAGTATATTTGATGAGTTAAATAGTTTTCAAAACATTGTAGGCCTTTTAATATGTATAATTAAAAAAAATGGAATTATAGGTTCCACTTTATATATATATTTAAAATTTTGCTAAAAATATCGTTTTAAAATCGAAGAACTGTTCGATAGTTTCATTTGCACGTGTTAAAATATATACAACCCAAAAATCTCCAAATCATTTTAGTTCTTACAATTATATATCTGTCTCATAAATCACTTTACTAATTTTTTTCAATCATATCAGTCCGAATAACTATATTATTTTAAGGGAGACTCACAAAAATGCCCATTTTTCAATACCCCTTTTCAAAAATACTCCATTTGGCTATCCATTTTTAAAATACCCTTTTTATGTACAAAATGACTAAATTACTCTTCTTTTAATAAAAGATATCACAAATATATAAGGAAATATAACAAAATTAGGTCTACAAAATACAAAATATTTTTTGGCGGGAAAAGTGATCCCGTAATTTTTCCCGCCAAAACACTTGTAAAAACTTGTAAAACCTTTAAAATACCTTGTAAAATTTTCCCGTAAAATTTTTTCCCGCCAAAAAAATTTTTTTGCGGGAAAAGTTATTCCGCAATTTTTTTGGGGTTAAATTTTTGGCGGAAAAAATTTACAAGGTATTTTAAAGGTTTTTTACAGGGTATTTATAAGGTTTTACAATGTATTTTAAAAGGTTTTACAACGTATTTATAAGGTATTTATAAGATATTATAATATTTTACAAGCTATTTTATAAGGTTTTACAAGTTATAAGGTTTTACAAGTTTTTTATAAGGTTTTACAAGTTATAAATACCTTATAAAACCTTATAAATACCTTGTAAAACCTTTTAAAATACATTGTAAAACCTTACAAAACACTTGTAAATACTCCGTAAAACCTTTAAAATACCTTGTAAATTTTTCCCGCCAAAAAAATTACGGAATCACTTTTCCCGCAAAAAAAAATTTTTGGCGGGAAAAATTTTTACGGGAAAATTTTACAAGGTATTTTAAAGATTTTTACAAGTGTTTTGGAGGGAAAATTGCGGGATCACTTTTCCCGCCAAAAAATATTTTGTATTTTGTGGACCTAATTTTGTTTCAAATACGGGTAAAATGGTCATTAAAAATTAAAGTAGGCAAACTTAAAAATGGACTCTCAATTGGGATATTTTTGAAAAGGGATATTGAAAAATGGGTATTTTTAACAATTTCTCTTATTTTAATTGACTTTTTATTATAATGAAACGTTTTATTATTTATAGTGTTTTTTGAATATATGTTTTATAGTTTTATAACATATTTATGATCTTAATTAGTTATAATCTAATGACTATGTCTATAACGCAAAATACAAAAAGTTTTGAGTAAAAAACTAAAATTGAAGGGTTTTTCTTAGTGACCGATCTGAAATTTGAAGTTTGGCAAATGTCAACAATGAAATATGTTTTGGAGATGGTTTAGTCCTAAAGCCGCCATTTCATCCGTCTACGATTCTTCAGTTTCCCCTCAAGCAATCCCGATTCTGATCTCGACCCATTTCAATCCGCCCGAAAACACTTGCGAGTCGCGGCGAGCTAACAATGGTGAGGAGAAGACAAAGAAGAGAATCGAAGCTTGTGATGTTACGAAAGGGAAGTGGGTTTATGATCCATTGTACAAACAAATGCGTCTTGTCCTTTATTTTTTATGGATGAAGGATTTAGTTGTCAAAGCAATGGAGATGGGAGCCTCAAAATTGTGATTCATTGTTCCACTGAGCAGTTAATCATTTCATGGTCCTGACTCCTGATTTTGAAATTGTGGTCGTTTTTGGTATGTGTCAGTTTAGGTTCAATGCTACAAAATGATCTTGACGGATTTCAAGAACACTTTCGAACATGGAGATGTGAAGCTGACTTTGGTGGGCAGAGATGGATACAGAGTGACCATGGATGTGCACAAGAAGGTCTTATCAGAGAAGAGCAAGTTTTTCAGGGAGAAGATGAAGTATCGAAGAGAGAATGGAGTCTCTCATTCTCAAATGGTGGAGATAAGTGAGTGTGGTGATGTAGAGACTGTGGTGTTGAAGTATTGTGATGATCTTCAGAATAAATTGTTTGGTCAAAGTCTTGACCTTTCTCAAGGTAGATTATATATGAACATTGATTTTGACCAAGTTCTGTCTTTTCTATAGTGAATTTGATTATGGCTGATAGACTTAAGGCTTGAATCGGGCTCAAACCAGAAATGATTAGGATAGAGTAGATTAGATCCATGTCTATTTGAATCTCTTAAGTGTTCTTGATCTGTTTTTTTTTCTGAGGAAAGAGGAACTTTGTGGACTAATTACTCACATAGACACTGTTTCTGCTGCATCTTTTGTGTGTGTTTTTAGTAGTTATAATGTAAGTTGGTAAGAAATGATTGTTCTTTACATGTATGGCTGGCCAAATCTGAGAGCTTTTTGTGTTTAAATTAGTTTCTCGAGTTATTTTGCTTTTTTGATGGTTTCAATGTCTTGTCTTTTATAGGTTTCTTCAGCTATAACGTTTGTGGAGGGAATAAAGTCATGCTTGGAGTACTTAAAGGCAGTTCCTTGGTCATAAGACGAGGAAGAAATCGCTGCGTCGTGTATTGAAGAACTTAATCTTCCTGGTTCGACTGCCACTTCAGTTCTGCAGAGAGTATCATCTTTTAAGCCCTCCACATGTACAAGCATAACCGGTAACATCTTCTTGAAACTCCTTACTGGTGTTCTCCTAGCGAAAGACGATAAAGCATGCAGAGAAATGAAATCTGTCATCTTTCGGTTGATTAAAGAAGAAGCTGATCATGATGTGTCTAAAGATATCCTTTACAGTCTATGTCACCAATGTCTCCTCTCTCTTATCTGAAGTCACCTCCAATGTGAATGATCCTGGTGATTTGATTGGGGAAATATCTAGAGAAGCCAGTAACTTGATTTGGATAGTAGACATACTGATTTAAAAGAAGCTCTGCAACGAGTTTGTGAAACTATGGGCGGATCAGAAGGAACTAGCAAATCTCCATTCCACGATTCCAGCGATGTACAGACACGAAATAAGAAAGATCACTGCAAAAATCTGTGTTGGAATTGGTAAATGAAAGATCTTGGTGAAGAGGGAGACTCGGTTTTCAGTTCTGAATACATGGTTTAAGGCGTTGTACGATGATTTTGGTTTGATGAGAAGGGCGTCACCGAGATCAATGGACTGGAAAGTAGTGGAGGATGGACTCAGCCAGATGATATTGACATTGTTGTTGAGACAACAACAGGTGATCCTGATGGAGTGGTTCAATCGGTTTATGAGCAAAGGAAAAGAATGTCCAAATGTTCAAATAGCATTTGAGGTTTGATGGAGAAGAGCTTTTTCATAAGACAGGTCATATTTGAGCCACCTGATACATAATATCAGCTTCAGATTACTTTCTACAAAGGCTTTTACATTTGTAGTTTTGTTACACACATCATTGCAATGATTTGTTATATAATATTCTTTGTACAAAATTATTTATATACTTGATTCTGCAACTGTAAACTAATAATGAAACAGAACTCAACATGAATCAATCAATAGCAATTATAATACTTTACCAATACTACAAAATATTACATTTACCAATACTCAAAAAAACAGAACTCAATGTTAACAATTTAAGCTTTTAAACTCAACTTAAATCAAACTCAGTCATAAACAAAACCGTTATGAGAAAAATCCACATCCGAATAGAGAAACGGATGGTTCATGAGTTCATTGATCCTCCATCTTGAACCAGGCTCCTTAACAAAGCATCTCCTCAAAAAATCCTGAGCTTCTTCCGATAACCGACTCGATATACGAGGAATGAGATCAGTGTGACCGATGAGCTTAACCCAATCATCAAAAACCAAATCACCATGCTCTCCCCAAACCATTTGCCCGGTTAGCATCTCCAAAACAGAACATCCAAACGCCCAAATGTCAACACCAAAATCAACAACCCCATGGCCTATTAATTCCGGAGCCATGTACCTAGTTGTCCCTCTCATATGACCACATCCATTCCCATACTCCACCGAACCTTTCTCCATTGATAAACCAAAATCTGCAATTTTAATCAGATACCCATTAAACCTAAACCGGTGATCAACAGGGCTGAGTAAGAGATTGTCTGGTTTAATGTCACAATGAACAATGTTTCTGCTGTGAATGTAACTGAGACCAGACAGAACATCTCTAGAGAACTGCTTCACATCAAACTCCGACAACCCTCCGTGATTATCTTCGATCAAATCCACAAGACACTGTCCAGCACAATACTCGAGAACTAAGTTATATTCATGACCAGTCCCTTCTCGTGCAATCTCATCGCCGTAGCAACTAATCACGAACGGAGATTGTAAACGTTTTAGGATCCTTCCTTCGTGCATAAGACTCGAAGCCTTTGAAAGCTCTGCACTTTTGATGGCTCTCTCTGTTTTGTATCTGTCGTCTTTACTCGTCGCTAGGTAAACCGAAGCGTAACCCCCTTCCCCAAGTAACCTAGATTTCACCCAAGAGGAAACCTTTCTCACTCCTCCGTTGCGGGTTACGGTGGTGGAACGTTTCTGAACGGCGGCGTTGAATGATCCTCTGCTTAGAAATTTGACACTGCTACTAATACTCTTCTTCTTCTTCTTCTTCTTCTTCAAAAGCGGCTGTGTAAGTTTCTTCTTTTTAATCTTCCTCGAACAACGACGTAGATGGAGCATGATCGGAGAGAGTTTTACAGTGAAAATAGGGTTTTGAGGAAGAGGAGGGATCATGGAGTTGTTGCTTGACGATGAATCAGAAATCTCAATAACACTCGTCGTCGGTGAATATTTAGGTTTTCTGAGAGGTGTGTTTGAGAATTCGTTGAACTTGACCTGACCATATCGTTTGAAGTAAGAACACATTGAAATCTCAGACTCAATATCCATTCTTCTCTCGCTTTCTCTCTAAGTTTGTGATAGAAAGATTATTTATAATTATAAACTTCTGTTATGTTTCCTTTTTTCTCACTAAGAAAAATGGAAATACTTTGGGTTCTTGATTGGAAAATGGAAATACATTAGCTAGCCCACGTGAGAGATTAATTTTTGTTGATTTTTTTTTTTTTTTTTTTTATTGATTTTGATAAAACCTGAAGATCATGACATATTAATTTAGGCTAATTTTTAATAATAAAACTCCAAATTAATTCCCCAAACCTATATCAACTCTATTGTTAGGTTCGTATATATAAGTTTTTCTCAAACCAATCTCCCTAAAAAAAAAAGATTTGTCAGTTCTACAAAGAAGTAGGTATGTGCATAATTTCATATACTTTATAACGTTTCTATGCGTAATATTCTTGCAAAGTTATTTAATGATGTAGTCTTTCTTTGAAAAAAGTTATCTAACAAAGTATAGTTCTTTGGTGAAGTAATTTAGATTTTAATTTATAGTTGTTTAATTGATAGTTTCGCAAAGCTATTATATATAGTTGTTTGGTAAGTCTAAACAAGTTTTTTTTTTCGTCTGGTACATTTATGAAGTCTAAAATTTCACACACATGTTATATTCGAATACGTATATGTAATTGTGAAATGGCATATTTTTATTGATAAATTAGTGTGTGATAAAATGATTGTGAGATATTTGAAGTTCCATAAGGCATTTGCTAGTTTGAAAGAATGTGAGAGAAACTACAAATCATTGTCTTATGAGGATGAGTGTGATTGTGGAGAGAGAATTTGTGATTTTTAATGTCGTTTAGTACCATCACTACCTACTTCTTAGAAAATCTCCATCAGTAAGAGCCCCTAAAGAGTTTCTTAGACAAAAATAAAAAATGATTATTTTAATAAAGTTTATATGTAATTAAATTTTAATTTTTAGAAAAGAAAATGAATCAATGTGTGAGAGGCATGTGGCTTAAGGGGTTCTAGTGAGTATTAAGAACTCCTCTTCATTCTCTTGTTTTTAAAAACCACTCTTTATTCTCTTTTTTCTTTTTTCGACGATATTTTTATTTTCTTATTGTTAGAAACTCATCATAGAAACCCCCCCCCCCCCCCAAATTGGGGTTGTTCTTAGGTATCAAATATCCTACATCTAATGTGTATATTCTAAAAGTGTAGAAAATTGAGCTTCTTTTGTTATGAGAGCTATTTTAGATCCGAGGTTGAAAGTGCAAAATCAGCTTATAATAAAGTGAATCTGAGTACTTCAAAAGAAAATGTCAAAGTTTTTGTACAAAATTTGAAGAATCTTTATACAGAACGCATGGAAAAAGCTTAGACTTCCTCCACCTTCTCAACAACACCAACTCCACATGAACTTCTGACTGAATCACCATGAGAGGATGATCCGAATTATATAAGTATTTTTCTTCATGCGTTGTATGTATTATAATCATCATATTTGTCTAACTAGTGTCTATATCATACATGATGAGTTTGAGCTTGAGAAAAGCATACATCCTGGTTCTGACAACACAAAATCGAAATTGCAAAATTATTTGGATGATCCAAAGCTAGATTTGAGGTCTTTTACAAACATGGATGTTCTGTGCTATTGGAAAGGAGATGGGCAACTATGGTGATTTGGCTTCTCTAGATTGTGATGTGCTTAACATTCCAATCACCATAGTGGCAACAAAGTCATCGTTTAGTATTGGAGGTCAGGTTTTGAAGCCTTACAGAAACCGCCTCTTTCCTAGAAATGTTCAAGCCTTACTATGTACTAGAAGCTGGATGCGTGGTTTTGCTGAGTTAGAAGGTAAAATAATAGTCCATATTTTCTATAATTAATTTCTTTTGATTTGTTGATTTATATCTTCAAATTTTAGGTGACATGAAGAAAACTTTGATTATAGAATTGAGGGTACTACATCGATGGCAAATAGCTCTAGAGTATAAGACGCGAGTGATATTGGTGATATGATAAAGTAATAAAATTGAATTGAGATCGTTACTTAATAATATATATGATTGTTTGTTATGACATTTTGACGAAACTACATCGCTTTGTTGTAGTTGTTAGATTATGGTCAGGTTTTCGAAGAACGAGAAGATTGTTGTTTTTATATATAACTTCAGTTTTAGATTTTCGAACATGGTTTAAGATACTCGGTACTCATCTTTTTTTTTTTTTTTTTTGCTACTCGTCTCTACATTTGGTTTTTGATACTCGTCTCTATTTTATGACAATAATTATGTTTGTGATTTAAGATTGGAACATAAAACAACTTCACGAGACTTGGAAAATAATTCTTATGAGACTTAGAAAATTAATAAAAGTATCTCAAAATATATTTATATATTAATTTTATGTTCCTAGTTTAAAAACCAAATATTAGACAAATTTATGTTTATAATTTTATGATCCAAAACTTAAATTAAAGCCATTACAATATATAACTAAAACAATTCGCCGGATTTTACACAAAAAATGCCCCCTCTCACTTCACTCGTGTGATGGTTGAATTCCATGGGATTCCCTACTTTCTTCTCAACGAGAGAAGCTTAAGTCAAATTGCAAGAGGAGTTGGAGTCATTTAAGGTTGCAAAAATGTTAATTGAAGTGAATCTTCGAAAAGAGCTACCCACATAGCTCATATATGGTTTCCCCAATGGACGGGAGTTTGAAATTATTGTCTCATATCCTTGGCTTCCTCCAAAATTTCATGTCCAAGGAGAACCGTGAGAGATCTAGTGCTTAATCCAAGGGTAACAAATCACAAACCGTCAAGGAAGACCCAACTGTTACTAATGGTTCTTGTGTAAGAAGAGGAGTAATAAACCCCAAAAAAAACTCTTGCTTCCTCAATGCTATCTAAAGGCTTTGCTTTCCTGCCATCCTTTTGTAAAGTTCTTCCAGGGATTACAGAGCGATATTCAACAGGTTTGTGACATGAATTGTCCTATTTATGCATTTATCTCCAATCTTTGTTGTCTTATTATAGTTGTTCATGTTTCTTTTGTATATATCTGACATGTAGTATATTTTTCGGTGTTGGTTTTTTGAAGGTTACGCATGAAGATTTGATCCAAGAAAAACTTTAGCGCAAAGATTAGTAAAAGAGTCACTTGAAAAATTAGAGCTTTTGTATATAATGGTTAGCTTATACTCATTTATTATTTAACAATTTGTTGTCAATTTTTTATAAACCGAAAGTTAGCTTTGCTTGCCCTTATTCAAATCTCTGAGACTGTTGTATCTCAGAAACTTGATATTGTATAGGAGAAGTTGACCTCTCAGGTACCACCGATTCTTCCTTCAGTGTCGAACAATGAGGACACCCACTGGAATTACTAGTTGGTTCTCTCAATGTTGAATCTCATGTAAGTCATTGTACGAATCTTTCTCGTTCATCTTTAAGGCAGTCTCTTTAAGCACCCGAGAAATTAAATATGGATTGTTTTATTATTTGTTCTTATTACAGATTTTACTGATATTACTTTTTCTCATCTATTCGACTAACTAAAAAATTGTATTATAATTTAACTGGTAAATCTTTATATAGTGACTTATTTAATATATCGATTTCTTTTTAGGTTGGTTTATAAATTATTTTGATTG